AACGACATCAGAATAAGCGTAGAAATCCAAAAATGTACAACTTTCAGAAACCCCTCCAAGAATTGGAACAGAGAAACGTTTGCTAAGCAGGTAAAAGACTATACCATAACGTGGTATACTGATGCTTCCAAAACCAAAGCCGGAACAGACATAGGAATATTTGGGCCGAAAACTAAATACGCCGACCCAATGGGTACCTACTAGAGATGAGCAAGAAATCGCAAACTGCGATTCAATTGAATCGGTTTTAAAATCGTAATCGCAACCTGCGATTCTCATAGGAAACTGCGATTGCGATTTCATCTATTTGGGAGTTTCAATTTTGGCAACCAGTATTACCTTAACTGCGATTTGCGATTTTGCTACGATTGTGATTTTCTAAACTGGGACCGTGATTTCTACCTGCGAGTTTGAATTTTTAGGAGTTGCGATTTGCGATATTGTTGCGAATGTAATTTTGTGGTCTATTGAAGCATTTTATAGTAAACTGCGTTTGAATTTTCTCTCTGATATTATTTATTTATTGAGAAGTTATTATTTTCTAGGGCCACGATCATAATATACCGGGTGTTTCTCAAGAGTGGTTCACCCCTATAACTTTTTTATTTTTTCTGATAAAAAAAAACGAGATTTGGTATTTTAGTATATGGCATAAATTAGGATTGAATATTCAATTGTAAGTAAAGTATTAGTCACTTTCTGTTTCACCGAACAGCTTTTGATTTTTAAATGACACATAACACCCTCGGTACTTTTTTTCTATATTCGATGACACTCTGACTAGAATGGCATATCATATGGGAACTTTTGACATTTTCGCTTAAAAAGTCGTATTTTAAATTTCAATCTAGAATGCCATGGCTGTGTTAAAACACTTATTTTAATCAAGATGTCTTGGAAAAATAGATTTGATCGCCAATTGTTTTTCGCGACTTGTCCTGGCCAGTTAAAAGATGCCCAAATCGTATTTTTAATAATATCTCAATTTTTTTTCAAATGGAACGAGGGTGGCTCATTAATTGGCATATTTAGAAAAAGCATTTTTTTACTAATAATTTGGTTTGGTAAATATCTCGGTAAATATTAAAATCTCAATTGCAGGTGATAGTCGCTGCGATTTAAAAGTCGCAATGGCAGTTTTAATTGCTATTGGAGAATGACAGTTTAGCTTATCTCCAGTACCTACCCCAGCATCCTTCTTAGCAACTTATTTTAGCATTGCAGCAACTTATCTTAAACAGGAACTATCGGAAACAATAAATAGTCATCTTAGACGATAGTCAAGCAGCATTAAAAGCAATGAATTCAGTAACCATCATTCGAACTTGGTCAAAGAATGCCTAGAGATTATTGAAAGCCGTATTTGAAACTGTAACATGCGGTTCAGAACGACAATTTGTGCTTTTCCCAAATATGTTAATGAGCCACCTTTGTTCCATTTAAAACAATTGGAATATGATTTGAGCATCTTTTAACCGGCCAGGACAAGACACGACAAAGATTAGACGATCAAAACTATTTTTCAAGGTTCCTTGATTAAAAATTACTGTTTTTAACACAGCCATGGCACTCTAGATTGAAATGTAAAATACGATTTGTTTTAAGCGAAAATGTCAAAAGTTGACATATGATATGCCATTCATTTTCGTTCGAATAAAGTGAAACATACCGAGGGTGTCATTTAAAAATCAAAAGTTGTAGTCATTTCCGGTGAAACGGGAAGTGACCAAAAATAATTGAATGCATCAATCAATCTTAATTTACTTAAATTATCATATACTAACATACCAAATCTCGTTCGTTTTATCTGAAAAAATCTTTTTTGTATTAACTTTTTTGGAGATATTCATTTTCTTTACGGAATCAAAAAGGCTGAGAACTCCAGCTTTTATTACTTCTATCCACACCTAGTAACAAACTTTTGTTTGATCAATTGAAGTTTTCAACAAGAAACTTTTCTGGTTATTGCGAACAAAAAAGTAATCTAGTTTACGAACATGTAGAGTTTTGTTAGCTTAACAGAAAAGGTTGTTTAGTTCAAAAACAAGATGTTTTTCGCCATATTTGAAGTTTCAATTGTGGATAGGTTTGAATTGTAGCTAAATTTTTATAAAATATTTCGTTTTATGATCGAAATATTGTAGGTATTTTGAAGACTTGCATTATTAAAGAAACTGTTTTTCTGGTTGAGCTAGTGTACAGGGTTGGTTTGGCTAGTATAGCTAGTATACAGGGTTGGTTGTACAAGATGTTGTTTTTAAAGCACATACATAAAGCTTATAAACCGAGTTATAGATTTACTATACGAAGTAACTGAAACTTAACGAGGATTATCTCGAGAGTTACATCACAGAGAACATATAATCTTTATTTATTATATGTTCTTTTTATGAGTATAATATGTTCTCTGTGGTTACATGCTATATGTAGGGTTACCAACCGTCCTCTATCCCAGAGGACAGTCCTTCCTCTTTTTGATCACTGTCCTTTTCTTTCGCGTATTGAAAAAGTCCTATTTGTTACACGCCAACTCAAAATCTAAAAATTCCATTTTCACACTATTCGTCTATTACCGCAATACTTTAAAAATTGTTAATCTGTGCCTTTAAGCACACTTGTTTGTATAGAAAAGAAAATGAAGAGAATGTGGAAGAAGTGTGGAAGCGATAAACACGTTTAACTATTTTATTTATTTATGTTTATTTACTGTTAGCTTATGTTTTGAAAAAAAAGTTTTGTTGAAAATGGTTTGTTTTATTTTAACAAGTTTTGAGTATAAATCGTCCTATTGCTGCCAAAAATCACTAACATTTTTCCGAAACAACCAAATTCAATCACTAACTGTATTTTGAAGCGGAGAATCGATTGAAAAGTCATTAGCTACGATTTCTGGCTATTTATGTTTTATTTTAATACCGAATAGTTAGTAACTATAACATCTTTATGCAATGCAATTCATCTTTAAACGGGTTTTATGTTAAAAGTAATAAAAAGTAAGTTAGTGACTTTTGGCAGCAACGGCAATGGGACAAAATATTTTTAAGAAAGTAAGAAAGACAATCAATCGCATACCGTTGGCAAATTATTGGTAAACTAGACATTTGGGCCAGGTTTCAAAAAATGTTTCGCCTGTGCCTCTTTTTTACCCTCTCGTCCTCAATCTTTAGCCGACCATACCAATAGGTATGGTAGTCTAGTAAGATCGGCAAAAACAAAGTTTTTTTAATTTCACTCAAAATGAGTTATGGGTCATAAATGACCTAAATACAAAATATTTTCATGATGTCTGTCTGTCTGTCCGTCTGTAACACGATAACTCAAAAACCGCTGAACCGATTTTAACCAAATTTGGCACAAAAATACTGTAGCACCCGAGAATCTGGCCATTAAATTTTGGTGGGGGTGGGGGTTGGTAAGGGGGTATGGGAGGGGGTTAAAAAATTTAAAAAATAATAGTAAACTCCAAAATTACAGTAGCTAGCGAAACGCGGTTTTCAAATTAAGATTAGGAATAATATTTGCCACAAAATTTGTAATAACATCAAAATCAGTCAAATTCGCAGTTTTTCAGATATTAACATATTTTAGTATGGGCGGCTATACGTGCCTCCCGGCGCCTATTTTTTATTTTGAAAGTTGGCAATTTTGAATTTAGTTTTAGTGGCATTTTTTTGGAACATAAATAAGATTAAAAAGGTATTTTGTTTTTGAAATAATCCCAAAAACATTTTTTTTATATAATACAGTTTTGAACGGGATGTGCGATATATCAAATATCGAGACAAATAAAATTGTGTCCAAATAGGTGTCTAAAAATTATGATCTTCGCAAATCCAAGTTTTTCCGAAGTTTTACTTTGGTTTTACTAATGTTTTTGAAATAGAGGGCGCACAAATTATGTTTTTGATATTTTGCATATTTCTTTCACTGCACTGTCATGCAGTTAGTATTATTATTAAGCGATTTTTTCAATTTTTACTTAAGTGTTTGATCCTCGCTTTGGTCTAAAGTTATGCATTATTATTATTTGAATTATTTCATACCGAGTTTCATACTTTATTATTTAATGTTTATACCTATCTACTGAATGTTGTAATGAATATAGTTTCTTTACCGTTGAAGCTAATTGTAATAGCTTTTGCTATAAAATATATTTTTTCCCGGTATCTACCATATCTGGCAGTAGTCAACAACCTTTTGGTCTTAGAAATTATATATTTTTTTGGTTATAGAATAGGTAGGTACCTATAGTACTAGACATATTGGTAGGCTCTTTCCGAGGCTCTTTCTAAAGAATTGAATTTAAACGAGAGTACCTAACTTATTAAATGTAATTCCAGTGCCTTCGTACTATCGCAATCCTCTACGAACACGACAAATTATATTCTTTCATAGACGGTGGTACTACAGTCGGTGGTGGTACCAGCTTGAAGTACTTCTTAGGTATATTTTCAAAATTTATAACATTTTTAAAATATTTTTATACGTCGGTAAACCAAAACTAATCGCGATATAGGTACAGGGTGAGTCTTAAATAAGTGCAAATATTCTTAGGTCTGGTAGATCTCGATACAAGAAACACCGTTAACCGTTTTTCGAATAAGCCCAAAATCCGAGGAAAATCATTTTTTTGCTTAAATTTTGAGAACCACTAATTTTTTTGGGGGTTTTCTTTTTTGTAAATTTAATCTACTTATGTTGCCATATTATCAAGAAATTATGCTTTTTAACTAAAAACTAAAATTTCCAAAAAAAAATTTCAAATTTTCAATTTTTTCTTGGGCAAAAGAACTCATAATGGTGTTTCTGGAATCTTATTTAAGATTCACCTTGTATATTGTAAATAAAAAAAGGTACCAACAAATGTTACAGTGCTTGATAATCAAGTACCTAGTCCCTACTAGAAGTAGTATTAATATTAACTTCTTCGGCATTTCTTCCGTAATTATGACTTCATCAACAACGGAATATTTTAAACATCCTCAAAGTCAGTGTCTTACCGTAATAACTCCCCGATGACCCTCCGGCATCCACCGCACCGAACCACCACAATCCTAAGATAAAACACGTCCAAAACTGTTGTCGCTCCATCGTATCTCCCTCAAAAAGAACAAACAATAACAACAAAATACCGAAAATTCACTCTCAAACTCGCACAAACAAAAAGGCAAAAATTTCACAGCAGTGGCACACCATCGCGTCGAGGACCGTCAATTCCGCGACTTCGTAAAGCGTCCCGACGCGTCAAAAAATCGACGTCGAACATACGGGCATCTCGACGGTCGTTTTTGAACTGCGAGCGCGGCGCGCGCTTGCGATTCTAGCGGCTGGATACGTACCTGGCTTAACGGGGCGGCATTGCCACGTTGTGACGTTTGGCAGAAGGTACGGGGAGATTTATGTGATAATTTAATTGTAATAATTCTTTTGGTACCATGTTATATATTGTGGTAGTTTCTGTTGTTAGTTTTTGTAAAAGTTTTTTTGGGTTCCCTTGTCTGTTCTGATGTCTGATTTTCTTCTAGTTTCATAAGTGTGTATTTGTTTGTTAATTTTTAAAGAAATATTTGTTTTTATTAACTTATTTTTGATTTTGTGTAGAAGTAATATATTATGATATTTTATTAATTGTCTCATGTTTAGTTCTTCTGTATTTTGATATACTTTTTCTGTTGGTGTTAGTTTATCTAGGTCAAATATTATTCTTAGTATTTTATTTTGTTGTCTTTGTAGCATGTTAAGGTTTTTTCTGTTGTATTACTCCACGTATTAATTAAATATTAATTAATAAAAAAATAAAAAAATAAAACGCCAGCTTAAAACTTAAAAATAACGCGCTAAAACTTAAAAATATAATACCAGATATGAAGAAACCAATATATCATGCATTATTTTCAAATGTGAGTTTTAGGAGTGTGACTATTGTTCTGGCGTTTTCTTTTCTTGCCACCTCTACTATTCATATATTCTTTATACTAACAGTTTATTTGAACAACTTTTTTTTATTTTTTCAACTTTATTTGAAAATAATGCATGATATATTGGTTTATTCATAGCTGGTATTATATTTTTAAATTTTAGGAGTGTGGCTGTTGTTCTGGTGTTTTCTTTTTTTAGTCTGTTTATATGCGTGTCCTATTTTAACTTGTTATGAATTTAAGTCCGACGTAATTGACTTGAGATACTTCTTTTATATTTCAAGTCATATGTATATACAGCTGAGCTCGCGCCCCAATTTTTCAGGAAAGCGTCTATTATTTTATTCAATGCCGATAATAAAGTAATTGGTTTATAATTTTGTGTTTGGTTCTTTTAGCCTTTTTTGTATAATAATATAGGGATTATTGTGGATTGTTTTAGATATTGTGGGTATATTTCTGAATTTAATATGTTATTTGTTAGTTTTAGGAGTATTGGTATTAAAGTCTTCTTGTTATCTTTATATTATTTCTTATTTTATCAAATCCTGGTACTTTATTTCGTTTTAGATCATTAATAATTTGTTTCATTTTTTCTTCTTTTATTTGTTTATTGTAGCATTTGCCGTAAGTTTTCTTAGTAGTTCTTGTTTTAGATATTCCTTTGCTTTTTGGTATTTGTTCTTCAGCTAATCTTTGCCCTACTGTAGTAAGATAGTTATTTAATTAATTTGCTATAATTTCTGGAATAGTATTATTTATTCCATCATTTTTGGTAATTTCTTTAATAGTATTGACATTTTTATTGGGGTGTATTTGCTTGTTAATGAATTCTCAAGTTTTTCTGCTGTCATTTTTATTATCATTAAATTTTCTTCTGAAATATTGTTTTTTCGTCATTTTTATAAGGGCTAATGTATTGTTTTTGTTCAATATATTTTCTTTTTAGGAGTTCGTTATTTGGGTGTTTTCGGTGTTTCTTATAAAGTTTAATTTTTTTTCTTATTTCTTTTATAATATTTTGATTTATCCAAGGACAATCATCTTTTCTTTTTATTCTAATAATGTTCATATTCCGGTCTATAATTTTTTCTATACTTTTTGACAGTTCTTCATAAGATTTAATTTCACCGGAGATCATTTTGTCTATTTTTTGAATATTTTGTTTTATTATTTCAAATTGTGTATATTTATGTAGGTCCATTGGTTATTTTTGATTCTAATGCTGCTTTAATTAAATAATTGTGATCGGATATATTAGAGGAGATAATGTGCATTTTAATGGACTTATCATTAATATTTGCAATAACATGATCAAGTATTGATTTGTTAGAATGTCAATTGTAAAGAGTGTATGCTCATATTATATGTTTTCTCCTTATTCAGGATTTTGTAGTTTCGATCTCGATATAATATGTTGAAGTAGTTGTTGTCAATCAGAGATATATTTTAGTATGTGTTTTGATCTATTGGAAGATCTTATATTATAAAATTTTGAGGAGTAAATTCTAAATCTCAGCCAGATTTTTCTTTATCCCCTTTCAATACCCAAGCAGTGTCTGTTTATTCTTCTCTTTATTAACTTTCTTATATAGAAATATAATTGTCATCCGTTGTTAAAGGAAAGTAGGGTTCGTGAGTAATGTTATTGGCATTATACCGTATGATCGAATAAAAACGGCGTCAGCGATAGCTATGAAATTAAGATCGCTGTCATTTTATATGTAAAATTATATGGGAAATATCATCGATCGTCATTTCATAGCCATCGCTGACGCAGTTTTTATTCAATCATACGGTATAATGGTGTTAAATAATAAATAAAAAATAAATGCATAGGTTGCAAAGAAATTTTAATATTGACGTGAAATGCTCTTGCATTATTATGGTTAAAAACAACAAAATTAGCACCAGGGGTACTAAATAAAAATTAAATTATATTGATTTGGACAAAATAAAATAAAACACTACAATTAGAGAATAAATAATTTCTAATTACGAAAACTGCAATTCAATGTTGTCAAATTGTACAATTCCGCCCCATTTCTGCCGACTTAACGAAATTAAATGCCAATGTTTTGGAATTGATTTTGAGTTGTCGGAAAGCGAGTTAGGACCGGGTCGAGGGCGTCGCTGGTGTTTTTTTATTTTATTTTTTGCTCGTTTCGCCCTTAGGGGTGGCTGGCTTTGTCTCCCTATTTTTTCGTGTGCCGTGTCGCACCCGGATTGAATTGTCTTTTAATTTCTATCGTTCGGGGTGACGCTGCGTACGGCGACCGGGATTAATGTTGGGTGATGTTTTGAAATATTCAAAGCCCCAACGCGTGGATTGTTTTTGGATAATCCTTATGGCCATCGGGATAGAATTATTCAGTATAGATAATCCTAATTACTTTTTTTTCTGACTGGAAAAACAAGGATTTAACAAACAATTTATTATATCTTTATATAGAACTAGCGTGTACCAGCGACTTCGTTCGCGTCGAATTAATCATTTGTAATGGTGATGATAAAGCAAAGCAAGAATTTCCATTAACATACAAACTGGATAAAATTTTCTCACATTTATGTCAGCATGAGAAAAAACAATATGGCGATATTATTATATAACTTGGTAATATTTGTGGGGTAGTTTCATCTCGTTGGAATTTGACTTTCGACTTTTGACTTTTTTGCACAAAAATAAGCTTTTTACTTTTTTAGTAGGTTAAGCAGAATCGTGGTTAAGAAATTACCCAGCTTTTTGGAACACCCTGTATGATTTTTAAAAACATTTCAAAATATGTAAAAAACAAATAAATTATGCTTGTCCAAGCGTTTTCTCAAAAGACTAACAGTTTTTTAAATAAGAAATATTGTAATATTTGAGGGGCGTTTTCACCCTCTTGGAATTTGAGATTCGAGAAACCCCTCCTTACCGAACCTCTACACCCCACAGTCAATCCGTTTGCCAAAAATCAGCTTTAAACGTCAAGCAGTTTAAGCAGAATCGTGATTACTCAATGGTCATATTTTATGAAACACGCTGTATAAATTTATAAAAAATCTTAAAATATGTAAAACAACAAAATAAAATATTCGTGTTTAAGAGTTTTTGTGAAAAACTCACCGGTTTTTAAATAAAAAATATTTTAATATTTGAGGGATAGTTTCACCCCCTTAGAATTCGAGTTTCGAAAAATCCCTTCTTATCGAACCTCTACACCCTAAAGTCAATCTGATTTCCGAAAATCAGCTTTTTACGTCAAGCACTTTAAGCAGGATCAATGACCAGATTTTTCGAAACACCCTGTATATATTTTTAAAAAATCTTAAAATATGTAAAAAAAACAAAATAAAATATACGTGTTTAAGCGTTTTTCGGAAACTTTTTCGTTTTTAAATAAAAAGTATTGTAATATTTGAGGGGTGGTTTCACCCTCTTGGAACTGGAATTTCGAAAAATCCCTTCTTATCGAACCTCTATACTCTAGAATCAACCTGTATACCAAAATTGAGCTTCTTACGTTGAGTGGTTTGAGCAGGATCGTGATTAATCAGTATATCAGTCACTTAAGGATTTTATATATTAGTATAGATTAGTACGTTGATATTAGCATATTTAGAAAAAATTATAAAAATTTTGATATGTTGAGGTTATACGTACTAAAAGGAGACTTTTTAAATCAAAAGAGTTCCTAACTGTAAAGTGTAAGCTTCACCCCAAAAACCACCCCCAATACGCACTGCGGTGGTTTTTCTCGTTTTTCTCGAAAACCATTAGTCGCACAGAAAATTTTATTCTTATCAAAAATCTTCCTTACAAAAATTTTCTACAAAAAAGGTTCTATTTATTATTTATCTTTATCCAATGCATTTCGAGCAATAACCGTTTGAAAAATGGAGTACAAAAAAAATACAGGTCGCCTTTCAAATTATAGACTCCCAAGGTATTTTAACGTGCTAAATATACAAGCAACAGATATAATACTGTATAATATAAACAAAACATTGCCTATTCCACTAAACTAACATTCATACTTTCATCTCCATATTGTCATCGTCTATAGTTTCTAGAATGTATTCGAACAACTTTGCCCACGACAGGTTCCGCACATAGTTGTACATTTCATGCCGGCTTTAATGCAACTGCATCTTTTTACACAATCCTGTTTGCTGATGTTCAAATTATTCGTACCGTCATCCAAATATCTGAGAAAAATGAACAAGTTCTAGTCGTTGGACAAGATGTCGATCTTGTTGTTTTATTAGCAGCACTTTCCCCCGATGAAAAAGACATTCTTTTTCTGAAAGAAGCCCTAGGTAATGTGAAACAACGAATGTATAGTTCAAGAGACTTGCAATCATCCAGTATTATACGTAATTCAAAAAAATCAATTTTGTT